GTCGAAGTGCATCCGGGCAGCCCCAGCAGCAGAACTCTGTAAACAGTAGTGTGATGTGAGACTGGACCCTCTTGCTTGCAAGCAATTCGTTGCCTTACTTCGAAACTTTCCTTTCATCTGCCCGTCTCGTTAATGCTCCCGGCTGGTGCCTTACGTATTTTACTGCATGCACTGCAGGTCGCACGAAATACCTGGCAAAAGAACTCCCGGACTTCACCTTCGCATCAGAGGCCACCTGGAGGGGCCGCAAGGCCGCGGGATCCTGGAGAAAGGGGGTTCCTCCGGGCAAGGCCAAGGGGGCTTCGATTCTCCCGATGGTTTAGGGTTTAAAAGGGTGCAGAGAACCTCTCAGACCGCACCAGCACCAAGACCCGAGAGATATGAGGCCAACCTCAGACGCAAAACCTGGAACACTCCAACCGAAAACTCCTTCAGGCCGAAGCAAGTGGCCAGTGCTAGCTTAAATCACCCCACGACTGACCAAAGCAGTCAAGAATATGTAGCCTGAAACTCGAGAAACTCCACAAAACTCCTGGATCCCTGCCACCGGGTCTTCTGCGGCACCCTGCCGGGCAAGCCTGGACCTAAGCACCTCAGAAGATCCCAGTTTCAGGGACTCACCAGGTCAGGGTCAGGTGGCCCAAATTCACAGCGAAAGCCACAACAAAATCTCCGCAGTGCAGTCAGGATATCCAAGAAAAGCAGCTACATACCTGCATGATTGTTGGGCCATGGTTGATGGACTGAAGGCCCTACCGCAGCACGGAGAGGCTGCAGGCTCATGACAGACGGGGTTTCAGGAGGCAGCTGCAACTACATGCTCAAGGCTCGGCAGTGAGACTGAGCATCAGGCAGCCAGCTCCTGACGATCTCTGATTTCTGATTAAACAGGAAGGAAGGGTGAGTCTGAGTACGGCCCACGAGCCCGTGGCATCCCACAGCCCCCAAGATGCTTCTGACCTATGACTTGCAAGTTGTTCTATGCGACTTCGGTGATCCAAGCACACCCAATCAACATCATGCCCAATAGTAACTGCCTAGGCTGAGGCCTTCGACTTATGGTTGCAGCAAAACGTTGTCGCCGTCTGCGTCCTGCCCGCGGTTTTCTGCCAGTTCACGCCAACGGCCTGCCTGGCACTTTTCAGTTGGGACTCCGTAGCAGGAAGAAACCAACTACAAGGGCCGCCGGAACAACACTTTTTGTTGCGAAATAATTACGCTGCCAAATGCTCAACCCAAAGGCAACTCGTGTCACCGAAGAGCTCGCAGTGGCAGAATGCTGGGTGGGCCTCTGCGCGCGCAGCCTCTGTCATGATTGTTGGTAGGCATGCGTACAGCATGATATGACGCATTGCCCCCTTTTCTCAGTGCTTTTCCGGCTTGCGCAGTCCTGAGGACAACAAAGACGGACGTGCAAAACGGCGGCAAAGTCAAGACATGTGAGTCTCAAACCAGCAGACTCTAGTCAGAAATCACAAAGCGCGCAACCAATCTACAACCCCCCGCGCCCCTCCCAACCGCGAAAAGCAGGCAAGCCTGCAGCTGCTCGTGCAAAATGGACCGCCTGTAGCACAACGGGAAGGCTTCGCTTGAGCATGGCACCTTTTCAACGCAAGCGGCATGCATTGGAGAAGTGTCACGATCAAGAACCCGTGTATCACCGTCCCTGCACTGCCAGGAGCCAAGCCCCTGAGCGGAGCTTGGAATCTGAGGCGCAGGCTCCCCGCCTTCCGCTGCGTTCTGGGCAAGAGCACAACACTCACCGGATCGCTCCCACCGTCACAAGGGGCAACATAGACCTTTATGATCTTCGTTCTTTCTTCTCTCGCATCTCGGCTCCATAGGTCCATAGGGTAACACTCACCGCATCCGACCTACGATGCGACAGCATTGCAACCCGGCACATTATCCTGCACGGCCCATTTACTTCGAAAGGCACAGTCGCATGGTGTAGGAAGCACAAGCTACGGCCAACAACCAAACCAAACATGTCGTGCAGTTTGCCACAGTCGTGGCATGTCTGTCGGCACTGGGATGGCACCAACTGCTGGAGCACGAACGAAATGCTGAAACATCACCCAGTTCAGCCGAGTAGAGCCCTGCTCGCGGCTTCAGGTTCAGTGTGATCAGTGGCTCAGTATCGGGACATCTCACTATATATGTTGAGCAACTCTCCGGCCACGCAGAGGCTGTCCTTATCCCAGGCCGCCCTGCTCTAGTTGAACAGCAGAGCAGTAAATAGGCTACATGGAATTCCAGCACAGATTGCACAGAGCTCTGACACTGGAGCAATGCGCGGGGAACTTCTCTGGCGACATTGGGAAAATCTCTTTCATAGAGACCGATCGATTCTTTTTCTGTCTGGACTAGAGTCAGAGACGGTCACCGGCGCATCGCACTGGCTGCAGTTGAAACTAAGCCCACAGAAGCTGGCATCGATCTGCAGTGACGGGCTCGATCATTGTATAGCTACGCTGATGCCAACTTTCTGTGAGCATCGGGCAGCCACTGAGCACGACGAAACACACGCATACTCGGAAAGCAATCGATAACAATCGATGCAGCTGAACCTTGCATAGAGGCCATCGCGGCGGTTTGCGGGCACCGGGTGCTGGGCACGATGCTGAACTTATAAACAGAGACTGTATCAACACTGGCCTAAGTACATCATAGAGCAAGATGAGGCACCGCCAAAAAGAACCCTTGACCCAGCAGAAGCGATTCGGTCAGGCCTGTCAAAGCGGCGTGCAAATTCGTTCAGGCCTGGCTGCCTGGCCTCACGCAAGAAACTCCGCGTGCCCTTTTGTCACGGCAATTCCTCGCATGGAAGATTGCTTCTCCATATTCCAGGCCCCTGAGAGGCACAGTCCAGTCTCAGCTTCGGCCCGCGACCTGCCAGTGCTCTTCACAGTTTCGTGTCGGGGTGGCTATGTTCGGAGACGGTCAGGGGAACGCCGCTGCGTGCCTTGTTTCGACCCCAGGCTGTTGAGGCTGCCGGCAATGCGGACAGGAACTCGGAGCGCGCCGCCTGCGCTTGGGCGTCGTTGGGAGACATGCCGGACGCAAGAAAAGCACACGAAAACCGACGAACGGACCAGACACAAGAACGAGGAGCCGCCGCAGCCCACAGCTCTCGACCCAGGATTCATGTGTCAACAAGTCCTGCTTCGGACAACTGCTGGGCAAGGCTGCCGGCTGAAGGTTTCCACTCAAACGCGGTTAAAGTAAAGTTGCTTGTTGTAAGGAGGGGATCCGACTTCGCAGGACGTGGTGGGAATCCCGGGGCGACTGCGACTGTGCAACACGAGATTGCACAATGCATGCACCCTACAGTACAAAATCCCCACTTGCAGTCAGGCCACGGCAGATGTCCAGCCGTGGTTGGGGAAGACCTGCGCATGTTTCATCACCAGACCCGACTGGCTGAGGCATTCAAGAGAGCATCCGCTGGAATATAAAATCTAGATGACAGCTCAAGGACACGAGTATACGCTGCACGGTCATCACTGGATATCTCCATCTTTCAAATCTAACGCAGCTTTGAGGCCACATCTTGCAGGTTGCGCATCTTGCTGATGGCTTGCCTTAGTCAGTGCTCGCATGAGTCATGTGCAGTAGAAGTCGTGTCCAATCTTGGAGGGCACCGGACGCGTTTCCAAGTCTGAGTTATTCAGAGCTCACCGGCCCTAAAGCCCTAAACTCCTAAACTGTTCCGAATTCTCCGACATACCAACATCGACTCTTGCAGGACCATCCCTGCAAAACAGAATCGGGCTCCTTATCCCACCAGAGGGAACCATGTGTGCGGACTTGAGACCTGGATATCAAAACATATGGCGGTGGGCAGAGGTGCTACTCTCTTGCTGCCGGAGCCTCTGGAGACCCTGACCCTGCTGCAACACCCCGAGATCCCGACTGGAACTGCGGATGCTGGAGGGCCATAACAGGGGCCTGAGACATCAAAGCTGCAGGACTTAGCCAACAAGGCCCTAACAGCCACAGCGTGCTCCCAGCACGTACCTTTCGCCTGAGCTCCGCACAGCGCCGAGGTCCATGTGATAGATCGCGTCTCTGTGGGTGGCCTTGGGTTTTCCGATAGCGACCCTCCAGTGACGTTGGATCTTCGATTTGCAAACCGATACTAGAGATATATTAAAGTTTTAAGTTACTAAAGATTGACATTCACTGTGGTGAGTAGTGACTGGGCCCAGTGGCCACGTAGCTGGAAAGGCGCAGTGCCACCTTGTCCTGCAGGGACCGTAGACATGCTTCGTTTCGTAGCATGTGAGGTGATGCCTGTCATCGCTGTCCAAAGCTCTCAATACCCAAAGCCCTTGGAAGTGACAGCGCTTCGGTCGGTGAGTCGCTCGTGAAGAGTCGGAGCCATGTGCATTCCCCGAAACACTAAATTGCCCGTGAAACCACAGTGGGGGGGGTCCTCCTCTGGAATCGCCGGGCCTCGGTGCAGCATGCGATCATCTGACCGGGGAACCATGTTCTACGACAAAACACTGACTCTTAACTTATCTTGGGGATGTTATACCCCTGCTGGTGCAAACGAAAACTCCGCGCAGATTTCCCAGTCTTCAGTGCTTCACTCAGCTCTACGCAGTCTACGCTGACATAATTTTTAAGAACCTGGAATAGACAGCATGGTTTCAAATTAAGTGCCAACGTGTGTAGTTGGACTTGCTGCCAGCGAAGGCTACTATGCGGTGGCGTTGTGTCATCGCATGAACACCATGTCACATGGTCAGCACAACCGACGACGGGGGCTAAGCCACAACAACTTTGCTCTCAGTCTCAATCGAACTCTCTCGTGCCAACCCGTGCATGGATTCAGCGTCGGATCGAAATACCAGGGCATCCCCGGACTAAGAAACGAAAGATGTGGCAGCCAGCATTTCAGGAGTTGCACCCGTTGGTGCCGACGTCCGTGGAAGAAATGAAAGCCAATGTGCTGCACCGAATTGGGGGACGATGCGTCGATCACTCGTCGGCTATGGTGCCGAAGGAGCCTTCTCGACCTGGAGCTGGCTTAGATGGCCTTTGGCCAGCGTCCTCTCCACCGTAGCCTGCAGTTTTCCGTGAAGGGACTGGGAGAGCCACCAGCGAAGATCCACCATGTCCTTTACCGTGGCCGTGTTGCTCCCACGAAGCTGGAGAACATGCTTCAGGAATTCGTCGAAGGAGATTTCCGTCGCGTCCGGAGCCTCTGCATCAGTGTCCGTCGAATCACCCGACTCCTCAAAGATGAGATCCGCAAAGTCGACGAGGCTGATCAAGTCTATGCCGATGCCCTTCATGGCATTGGCTGCTCCTTCGTCTCGCAGAATCTCAAAGAACCTCGGTCTTAGTGTTTGTGTTTGACCCTGACAGGGGGCTTTTTGCCATGTAAAGCTTTGCGGTTTAGGAGCTTCTGCTGATTGATGCGCTTGTCCGGGCCTCCGGCAACTCGCTCGAGGACCTTCCGAAGCCATTGAACTTGGATCGCCTCCTTCTCGGCGCTGGCCACGGCACTGATCACTTCGCACATCACCTCTGCAACTCAAAGCCGGATGCCCAAGGCATGCCAATGCCAAAGGCCAACATGCCAGTGTTTAGCCAGGCCACACCAATCAGCATGTTCATGACCTGGGACTGGCCGGACCATGTCGGGGAAGCCGGAGAAAACAGAGAGACAAAGAGACAGAGCTGAGCTGTACCATGGAGTGCTTATAGTGAGTTAGTTTCAAACTCACATGCCGCCCCAGCCACGGTAATTGCCGACATGATGACGAAGGTGTACATCAACGTCAAGGAAATGTAGAGATTCTCCGCAAGCAAGTCGTTCATCAGCGTGCCAACCTCATGAAACGAGAGGGCTTGCCTTGAAGTTCTGGTCTGCAGGGTGTTGAGGCTCGCGGTTTGGTCTGTTTTTCGACTTTCGGACCGTCGGATGACCTCATCGAGAAGAGCACCGGAGATGAAGAGGGTCTGCATCGATGCGGGAACACTGGAAAAGTACTGTCGGGCACATTGTGTCCCTCTCGTCAGCTGGGTGAAGGCGATGGCAAAGATGTAGAGGATCCTCAATGAAGGTGCAGAAACAGGTGTCGATACGAATGTGATTGGCAACCAATAGAAGTAGACCAGCTTAAATGACAGGTGCAAGGAGCATGAGCAGCAAAGCCAAAGTGAACACCACAGAGCGCAAAGCAGCAGCGATTGCTTTCCTCAGCCACGCAGCTTTAGCGACAGCGGTCTCGTTGAATTCGCCCGCCCGCTTGTGAGTTCTATCTGTCTCTTGTCCAGCCTAGCTTGCTGCAAGTATAACATGCGAATGCATGCAGCATACATGCGCATGCATGAATGTGTGTCGCGGATTTCTATTTGAAGGCAGCTAGCAGGAGCATACAAGTACGCATCTCTGGGTTGCAAATTCAAGTACGTCGGCTGTCGCCATATCTCGAAAGCGTTGAGAAGAGTTATTTGTCGGTGGAGGTGCCAGGTGGCGTCTATAAGATGGGTTGATTTTCGATAGACGTCATGACATGAGGCATTTGTATGGTTTTCGGATGTTTTCGGGAGGTTTAGGGTGGATTGATATTTGACGTATGTGAGGCTTTCGTGCTGGCGTTCTCTCTTGACGACTGATTGTACAAAGCGTTAGTCACAGCACGGGGCAAGGCAAGCGGCGGGCGTTAGTCGCAGCCGCCACCTAAAATCGCGTGTGGTGCCGCGGAGACTCCCGTCGGAATAGGCAACCCTCTCCTGATACAGGCGTGTTCTGGCACGCGAAAAGGCTCTGTGCATGTTGTGGCAACAACCCTCTCTCCGGAAAATGAGGTTCATCGCAAGTTCAAGAGATTTGCCTTCTCATCTCAACATGACAACCCCCTCGGTGGCGGGGTGCCGCCTTCGTCTTGTCCCATGGGAAGGCAATTTGGTCAGGTCACTGATTGTCACCAATACATGGGGGGAAAGCATTTTGGCCCTGCTCCTGTGTCCCCCTGGTACATGGCGCTGCCACGACTAACATCCAAAACAGTCGCCTCATGTCGGCCTCGAAATGACAAAACCTCGCTGATGCCTGCGAGTCCGGGCGCTGCACGTGTGGAACCGCGTCCTTTTTGGCCTGGAAACGTCTGAACCCCACCAGTACATGGGGGAAGCATTGTGGTCATGTGTCTCGGTACACTGGGGGGAAACATTTCGGTCGTGGTGCTGCATGCTGCCGATCTGTAAAAGGGCTTGTAAGCGGGCGTATAGAATGTTTATAGGCGAGTTTGTAAAAGGTTCTATAGCAGATAGAAGGCTTATTGAGTTCATGTCACAGGCTTAAGGGTTTCTAGAGGAGTTTACGGAAGGGTTTATGAAGGAAAGGATTTCCAGAAGAGCTGCGTGGGTGTGTGGATGCGTGGGTGGATGGATGGATGGATGGATGGATGGACGGATGGACGGATGGATGGATGGATGTGGATGGATGGATGGATGCGCGCATGGATAGCGGATAGAGGAATGGATGGATTGGATGACATTAGGTGGGACAGCCGTTCTCTATTTCCTACCTGCCACCAACCGCTGCAATTGCTTGGCAGGCGTCACCAGAATCAGGACCTCAGGAAAGAGGTGCAGGAGCTGGGACATGCGAAGCAGCCGCGAGAGCCGCAGCAGCCGCGCGACACGTATGATGCCGGTGTCTGCGAAGATGGTCCCTACCTGGACTTGGTGCACGGCACCATCCTACAATTCAGTTTAAAAGCTCCAGAGCCCAGCGTAGTCCGCAGCCCAAGCGGCATGGTTACTCTGCAGCAGCAAGTCGAGGAGCGGCAAAAGCCAAACCTGCTCAGAGGGGTTGGGAAGACCTTTGCTTTCTCGGGTGCCCCGGGCCTGAATGGCCATGGACATGACCAGGAAAAGGTCGAAAAGAAACCAGAAGTCGCGAGTCCACTTCCACATGCTGCTGAAAGCCAGAAATCGAATGGAGACCTCCAGCACGAAGAAGCAGCAGAAGAACTGCTCAACCCAAAAGAACACGGAGCCTCGGCTACACAAAGAAGAGAGGCCGCACCAAGCAGCTCGGGAATCTCTTAGACTCTGGTTCTGAGTTCATCGAAACCGGGCTCTTGCTGGAGATGACCTCGGAACTTGTGTCCGTGTTCACAACATGCGGGTTGTAGTCAATATCCACCGCAAGCCACACGGAATAGATGACGATCATGCTGGTGGTCAGGTGCTCAAAAAGATTCGACCTCCGGGACACGCCACCTCAAATCTGCCTCCGGCGTGGCAGTGGAACCAAGCCCCAACCCTCCACGCCTCGCGATGCATTGACACATGCCTGTGTCCTTGTACCTGTCCTGGTTCGCCTCCTCGACAGCCTGTCAGCCACTTCATCATGCGCGTGGCTCAAAACCTGCTGCTTGAAACATCAGACGAATGTACTGCACGGGAATTCGGGAACGCAAAGTGAATGTGCTCGGGATGTACGCCGCGCACTGGCACTGCGAGGATGCCTCTCGATTCTCAAGCTCTTCGCGAATGATGCTTTTCATATCCTCAGATGCAGCAGCGCACTCACCGCAATACATCACCAAAAAAAGAGACGCATGCTCGCAGTCCGCCACTGTGGCATGCGCGCAGAAGAGCTTCAGCCTGTCTGCATGCCTGCTTCTGTGTTGTTTGCCTTCTCGACCAAATTTCGGAAATGTGCTGGGGGTCGTGTTCGATACTTGCCAAGGTGATCGGGAAAAAGCTGCAGAGATGAAAGTGCTGTTGAAAGTATATATGTCTTAGGACTGACCGACGCAAAGCTAAAGAGATGATCAAGACGGGGGCAAGTGAACGAAACAAGTTCCGGACAGAGACTCTGCAGCCCTTGTTAATCTTCAGGCAACACAAAAATTCGAGAAGACGGCATCGCCATTAGGAACACCAAGCAGCCCTTCGACCGACCCGAAAGTCGACCGCAGTCGGGGTGGCAAAGCCATCTGGTGATGATATTGATGACGACGGTAGTTGTTTCGGTTGGTAACAGATACTCGGACGTGCTCTTGAAGGTTCCGGACGGTTCTGGGTAGGTGAACTCCGGGGCTGCCGGATCAAAATAAAACTAAAAAAGGATCAAAAGAAAAATAAAGGATCAATTTAAAAATATAAGGCGAACCCGGGCTGTCACGGCTGTAAAGCTGCTGCTGCGCGCTACAATTCCCTTTTTTTCGGCGGTGCGGCCAAGGACTTTGTTCAGGTCAAGCTATCGGTGAGTTCCAATTTGTGCAGCCTGGTTTTCCCTCAAACTATCGGAGAATTCGAATTCGTGGGGCTTGGTCTTCTTTGAAGCTCTTCGTGAATTCCAATTTGTGCAGCCTGGTTTTCCCTCAAGCTATTGGGGAATTCGATTTCGTGGGGCTTGGTCTTCTCTCAAGCTATTCAAGACTTCCAACTCGTGGGTAAGTCTCCCTGTCGTGGGGCTTCTCCAGAATGGCAACGGCATTCACACAGGTTGCCGAATCAATCCAAGTCACATGCGATCGGCACAGACCAAACGCACGTGTATCCTGCGCGATTCTATCGATACGAGGTTTCTATCCGAAACACCCTCGATGCTTGTATCACGAGGGAAAGCCAGCTAGCTAGCACATACGGTCGTAGCATGTCGTAGCCCATTCTTCGTCACAGGTGGATCTTCGGGCGGTCTCTGGCTGGTCTTCTGAGCGCCGGTGTCTGTTGGTGGTCTGCTGGTCTCGCAGAACGGACGGATCTGCAGAACGCAGAGGCATGATCTCCCAAGTGGATGTGATATCAAACTGCTCTCAAGCTTCGCAGCAAGGGCAATCACCGCTCTGCATTGTCTTTTGCGCCGGCTATGGTGCTGCAACTCAGGGCGCCAGCCTCGCTCTGTCCGGAAGCCTCGTTTTGAAGCAGGTCGGTGTGCAGAAGGAATACCCGTTGGTGCTGGCTCCACTGGGTAAACGGGACATGTTTGACATTGCTTGCTTAATAATACCTTTGTTTTGTGTTTGATGCGTATTTTTGCATTTTTGTTTTTGTTGATGCATTTTTTGTGGATGCCTCTCCCACCAGATGGCCAGGGGACCAGAGGACAAGGGGACCAGAGGACCAGGCAACCAGGAACACCAGAAGCCCCTAGCCCTTGATTGAGCTTTATTTTTTGTTGATCCTATTTTATTTTTTAATTGATCCCTTTTTGTTTTTCTTTTGATCCTTGTTTATTTTTTGTTGATCCCTACTCCGGTGAACTCAGCCAAGTGTCCGATACAGTTGGCAACCACAACGCTGACCTCAAGGCATAGGGATGAGACTGGAGTCCCTTCCCAGGAGCCGATTCTTCGCCCACCGAGCACACCGGCACACTCCAACCAAGCACATAGCAGGTCCCCCCAGCCTTCTGCTCTTCATTTCAAGTGGATGCTGGTTGGACTGGCTCGAGTCGCCTGCGGTAGTCCTGGGGAAGCTTGAGGGTTCGATGCTCGCTGGCTAGGTCACTGGGACGGGCTACAGACACGTTAAGGCTAATTCAAGGGCGTGCCAAAGCTGATCCACGAGGACACCAGGATTCCGGCTTGATCCACACACGGCCCTAATCCTCCAAGGGCCGAAAGGGGGGCAGGGTGGCCTTTCTGCTTTCTAGGCTGGGGGGCGATGGCTGTCAAGTTTATCAAATTCAATCAGTTTCGTCTGCAGTGTACAGACCCGGTTCGGCTACTCCTGCCGGACAAGCTCAGCTTCTCGAAATCATCCTATCTCTTCTGGATGGAGTACTTCAAAGCATCTGCTTGGCCGACCAAAGCGGTTACACCGGTTGTTGCTCGTGAAGACTACGACCACGACATGTCCCTTGGTATGAAGAATGCCTACGAATGCCTGAACATTGACACAGACACTGTCATTATCAGGCTATTGTTGGTTGATTCGTATTCACCTTGAGTTCCATGCCACATGTGTAGCCTTTGTTTGTCTGGTTACAACTGTTGCCTTTCGAATTACTGGTTAGGTTAGGTGTTTTGCTTGATTGATGTATGTGCGCACGCAGAAATACGGATGAGTGCACTCCTACATTGGGAAGCAGTTCCACCAAGTCGCGCAGGAGCCCGAGCCCCGGTGTCTTCTTCAGAAGAAGGCAGCATGGTAGACGCGGTGGACTGACCAGCTTGGGCGGCTGCTGCAACTCCTGGTCTCGCTCGGCTGACCCAGCCAGCTCTAGAGGCAGACCAGGCTGGCAACGGACAGAGGCTGACTGCGGAGATGAAACAGTCATGAGCTAGTAAAATGCCCATGAGAAGAAACTTGCGTTCAAGAGCCACCTCATGCGACAGCTGATGCGTCTCTTCCCCTGGCCCTCCTCGCCCCTTCTTGCCATCTTCCAATGTCGCCGTGCAATTCCTAGTTAGGTCAGGTCGCAATGCAGCGGAGACGCTGGCAAATGATACAAGCCGATGCAAATCGCAGACGTCAATAACGGCGCTTGACGGACTTAAGCAATGAGCGCAGTCAGTTACAGGCTCAGCCCAAGTCCTAACAAAACGGCCGAGGGCACAGCTCGCCTGGTCCACAGATCCGAGAAGGCGAAAGAGCTCTGCCAGCGCAACTCGTCCGACTTGCCCACCGTGCCCACCTGTGCAAGAACCAGAAGAAGCACAAATACATTCTGCAAGCTGCCTGCTCCCCGTCATGATTCGCACGTCTGGGCATAACTCCTGATCTTTCACTCGGACGCAGCAGAGGTACACCACCTAGTCACAAGCCGAGCGGACCATTATCCGACACAGGCGTGATGCGTTGCATGCTTACGAAACACAGCTCCGCCACTAAGTGGCAAAACGAGCTCAGTAATTAGCTAGATAGTAGACCGACACTAAGAGCTGAGCCTGCTACAGGACATCCGTGTCCGTGTGTCCGAAAAGCATGTGCCTCTGAGAGAGGCGGCTCTTCGGCTCTTCTCGGTCCGTGGTGCGACAAATTCAATGCTCAATCTTCGAACTCCACAATGTACTCGGGATACACGTGAGCCTCCTCCAAGACGATGTACTCTCTGGGGCCCTGGCGATCTGGATTCGCCAGGACGCAATGCTTCCCTAGTCGAGAAGCTTCCTTTGTCACATCAGAGTGCCAGTGCTTCTCGGTGTAGTGCATGTGGCCGCAGACTGCTCGACAAAGCAGAACATATTTCACGTTCTCGGCTTGCTTGCAATAGCTAAGGCTCTTGCTCAAGTCCTCTGCAAGGTAAACCCCATGGCCGAACCGACGCCCGTGCGTGCCGCTCTCCTTGACCTCGAAACCTTCCTCAGCGATGGCTTCTGCCGCCTGTTTCGAAGTTCCATGCCAGAGCAGCGTTTCATTCAAGCCCATCGCCATGTTCTCCACCGAGATGGCCTCATCACCGTGGAACTCGCTCAGGATGGTCGCCGTAAGCGCATGGCCGGATTCTGGATTTCCGTCCAACTCGTTAGGAGGCGTACACCTTGCAATGCCATTGGCCTGCAAATGCGCGAACAAAGATCGCTTCCAGTCGATGTAGCGGCACCATAAACTGGAGTCCTCGACCCGCTTTGCTCGAATCACCTTGGGAGCTTTCCCGTCTTTTCCACAGGAACCATCAGCTAAGCGCTGAATGAGCTCACGAATCTTTGGCTTGACCCTCCAGTGCTCCCGGAAGCCCTCAGTGTATGGATTGCGGCCGACGTTCTTCCAATAGAGCGGCAGCTCCAGCAAGAAGGGTACATCCTTGGGCGGCAACTGGGGCTTCTCATCCTTATGGAGCCGCTCATAGAGGACCAAGTATTCGGGGTATACCTGATCTTCATTGTACACGACGATCTCGCGATAGGTGTTCACTGCCTTCGCACGGTCGCCTATAGTACTGTCGCATTCTCCGTCCTCGTACTTTTTAATGGCAGAAGGCTCACGATCCACGGTGTAGTGGAACTTGCCTATGCACACGCGGCACAGGAGCAAGCCCCTGACACCGTCGTAGTGACCACCCGGCTCATCCATGGCGTACTCGTCGGCTTTGGTGCAGCTCTCTGAGAAGTACAAGCCCCTCCCGTACATCGTGCCTGCACCAGAGCCTGCAAACGAAAGCTTGAAATCATCTTGAGCGATCTTCAAGCCGGTTCGAACTTGTGTTCCATGCCAAAGATAAACCTCGTTGAGGGCGTCGTCGACATCGCACAAAACCTGACGAATAGAAGTAGAGGCTTGCATAGCATCTCGTGTGAAAATTGCAGGATCCGGAGCTTCACAAGACGAACGCTTTCTCTTTATCTCATCTCGTCTGGCTATGTAGCGGGTAAATATTGCTGAGTCTTCCACACGGATGACACGCTTGATCTGGTAGCCTGTGGGCAGGCCGGGATCACCACCTGGCTGGACACAAGGGCAACCACCTCTGGTCTTGTCATGCTTGCCCGTTGGGCAGAGACGATCTTGGGTAGTTATCTTCCGGTATGTGTGGTTCACAAGCTCCTGAAAGAGTTGCATGTCCTCATGCTTTACATACATGAGCTCGTCGAAAGAGAGGTCCTTCCGCACGATGGCTGCGTCCTCTTTGCTTTCCCGGAATCCTGTCCAGTACTTTGGTAGACTCTTCGTCGCCATGTCATCCAACGGCTTCACAAGCTCCTTGCTGTCTGAGCGCAACTTGGCTTTGGTTCCAATGACCACAGCGGTGGGTCCAGTAGATGTCGGCACGGGCGCATGCGCTCCCGATGCCGGCGTCGTTCTGACACCGCTTTTGCATTTTCGCCTGAAGATCAACAAAGAGATGAGAAGGACGAAGATTCCGGCCACGCTTCCCAATACGGCCGCCACGATCACGTCGTCTCCGAACTCCTCAGCAACAGCTACTGTCGCGGCAGTGGTAGTATCAGGTACTTGAGCAGTCGATGACGATGACGATGAAGCGGGGGTCGCCACACCATCGAGCAAAGGCAAAGGGGAAAAGCGAGTTGTAGACATCGGGCCCAATGCCTGCACGGCAAAGGGGACAGCGTACAAATCTCCCATTGTCTGCGACAACGTGGGAAGGTTTGCTTGCATGTCCTCAAGGATGGCTGTAATGCTGGCAACAAGTGACATCTGCGTCGGATCTTCGGCCACCAAGATTATTTTGAGCGGTACGTTGTATGTTTCGGTTCCTTGCAAATGTCGGTCAGTCCCTGCCTGGGATAACCGTCGAGCATACGGAACGTAACCAACATCTATGGCGTGCTGTGGCAGCGCAAGCATGGAAGCGAATGCTTCCCGGATGAGCGCATCAGCCGGTGGATGATCCGAGGAAGTTGGGCAAGATGGGACGGAGCAAGAGAGCTGCAGGCTCCCTGCAATCTCGACCCTCTCCCCAGGCACCGGGACACTGTTGTTGAAGTAGGGCATGGCCGGTATATGCAAATGGGTGCCACCATCCACATCGAAAGCCACGTTCCCCATTGAGCGGCCCCGCTGATCGTTGTAGACCGCAAGGAACCAACCTCGAGATTCAAGAGATCTCTGGCTGACACCCTGACCGAAGAGCCAGCTGCTGTGCACGATGGCACAGAGGGGCGTCGATGTTCCCGGAAACACGGCAGTCAACACGACGTCACAATTCCTCCCCGACTGCATGTCCTCGTAGCACTGGTCGAAACTGACCTTCTCAGGCCTTTTTGTCCAATCGGTGAAGTTGAAGGGATGATTCACGAACTGGCTACCCGAAGTCACTGTCACTGAGCTCGGGACCATGCGATGGATGCAATATGGGTCCGAGAAGAAGCTGACCCCGTAGACAGCATAGTTGTCTCTGACACATCTAGGATCTCTGGTGTTGATGTACAGCCCCCAACTGCCAGAACGTCCGGCCACACCCCAGACTTCATTTCTGGGAGAAGGCCCCCAGCCGTGGTTCCAGCTGTCAGACAGGTGATCCCGAGGGATGAAGTCTCCACGGAAATAGCACCGGGGTCGGTCCTCTTCCGTCGATTCCGTTGCACCGAGCTGGACAAAGATGCTCTGGCAGAATCCACAAGCGTTGCAAATGCGCACGCAGTCCGCCAGAGTTGGGCATTCCGAGGGGCGGCACCCACCGTCGTCAGTTGGGTCTAGCAGCCAGTCATTGCAGCCAGACTCTTGGCTGGCGTCTGCATTCCTGGCCCATCCACAATATTGGGTCTCTTTCCCAGCCGAATCAGGAAGAGGCCCAGCATCGAGTAGTGCCCCTCGATAGCTGAGTGTCACTGCGGGCAAGTTGCCACCTGCTCCACCCTTCATGCACACGGCGCTCACTTGTGCTTGGACGCTGCCCACAGAGCGTCTGCGGTGGGAGACGGCTTCTGGAGTGCTGTAGAGCAGGCAGGTTTCCGCGGTAGGGGTAAACAAGTCCCCAACTGTTGGTGGGAAGGATGCATAGCCGCTGCAGGTAAGAGAGACTCTCCAGGAGGTCTGACAGTTGCACGACAAGGCATGGTAATCAGGTGGGCATGATGCAACGAGAGAACCCTCGCCAAAACCAGAAGTGGCAATTTCGGTGGTCATCGCAGCAGAATCCACACAGATCGCCTCGGCCATGATTGGTGAATCACCAGACCCCTTCGCTGTGCAGCTGGCTCTACTGGCGATTATGCCATCTCCCGAGTTTGGTGGAATGGTTTGGCATTTGAAAAGTGTGGTTTCTCCAAACTCAGAGACCCCAGCGGGACAGAATGCCGTCACCTCACAGTCATCCTCCCCGCATAGGTCACTGTAAACCACATACAAAGCCTGGTTGGCATATATATCCGTGCGGTATGGCCCCTTGGAAATGATCGGCAAGTAGGAATAGCTGTTGGCGCCCCGCACGTAGACACTACTACCACAGGTGCTCTGGGTGTACCCTGAACAACTTTGGAGAAGCCAACAATCAGAGTTGCAGTCGTACTGTACATAGTCGCAACCAGTCGTCTTGCGGCAAAGTGCCATGCAACGATCAAGGGACATGGCTCCAAACTGTGTCGCTTCGTTCTGGTTTGAGCAGTAGACTCCAGGCTCGCACTGCCATGCAACATCCAGCTCTGGCATGGCATCCGGTGTAGTGTGAGGAAAGCATTGCCCGAAGACCGTTGTCGTCGTGGTTGTGCCCCACAGCCAGTTCGCATCTCGGATGTAGACACTACTTCCGCAAACGGTGTCTACAAAATCACCACACTGTTGCAGCAGCCAGCAGTCGGTGTTGCAGTCGTACTGGATCGCGTTGCAGTCGGCATGTTCCGAGCACTGCCTTTTGCAGCCTTCCAAGCTCATTGACCCCAACTTAAGCGCAGAATCTTGGAGAGTGCAATACTTGTTGGGTGTGCAGGTGTACTCTGCAGAGGTGACGATGCAGTTGCCAGGTGGCTGTGTCGTTGTGTGTGTGATGAACGCGCCCTCACTCGTCGTTGTTGTCGTGGTTGTTGTCGTCGTTGTAGTCTGCACCTCGCAGATGACTTGTGCCTCCAAGTTGCCAGTGCCTGCATTGTAGTTGAAGTAAAGTTCGGGTCGGCGGGTCCACATGTAGCAGCCATTCGGCCACTGGGGTGTGTCCTCCGTCTGCATGTACGTGGCATCTAGAGCTGTGGCAGCCGCCTGGCAGCTTACAGCATCGAGAACCTGCTCCGTGTCTGCAGGACAGCTGGTCAAGCCCGCCGTCTGGAGGATGAAGGGAGGACCGGTGGTAGTTGAAGTCGTTGTGGTTGTAGTCGTTGTTGTCGTTGTGGTGGTTGTCGTGGTAGTGGTTGTTGTGATGATCTTGTAATAAATGCTGCTTCCGCACTGCGTATCAACCTCGGTCCCACAAGTTTGGCTCTCGAGTAGCCAACAGGACTCTCCACAATCCCACTGTATAGCGGTGCAGGCTCCACTTGAATCACAGCGGCTCATGCATTCCTCAAGTGAAATGGCCCCAAGTACGGTGGCGCTGGCCTGATTAGAGCAATACTTTTGTGGAGTGCAACCATATCGCTCTGTGTTGATGCCGGAACACTCTCCGGTCTGAGCTGTGGTGACTTGGGTACTTGTTGTGGTCGTCGTTGCATCTTGGATCCAGTTGCGATCTCGGTAGTAGATGCTACTTAAGCAGCCGGATTCCACCTCCGGTCCACAGTTGTCCAGAAGCCAGCAGTCTGTGCCGCAGTCGTACTGGATAACCCCGCAGTCTCGTTCAACGCACTGAACCATGCAGTCTGCAAGCGACATCGGCCCAAGTCGTGTCGAAAGGCCCTGGTTTTCACAGTACCGATTGCTAACACAGTTGTACTGGGTGGTCTGGGCGGTGCTGTCAGGGTAGCATGTATTCGGCTCTTCACCGCAACCCACGAGAAACAATGCAGAGGCCAGGAATGCTGACACGACGAGAAGCCTTCCCGGTAGTCTCAAGCTGTGATGCTGAGGGCAAAGATCACTCTTTGCGGACTCACTTGGCACCATCATGGAAAAGACCCCCATCGGGGCTCGTGCCTAGCCTAGCAATGCTGTATCTGATTGCACGCCAAGGCTTGCTAGCTGCAGTGCTATGGCAATTTATGCATTGACTTGAACCGCAACTGCCTGACAAAGTATAACTTGCACGCGCAAGCAACCGATTCTGAAATAATGTGTTGCTGCTGATGAACATCGAAGACATGGGGTCTTTGGGCCGCACAGCATCGACCGCGGACAGATAACGCCGCATGAGCACGTCAGTTGTCTTCAGCACAACTCTGATTTGCAGATCTGGCAGATGCATGGACAGACAGCAAGCTTAACTACCATGCACCGATGCCTCGACATCGCAAGGCTTGCTAGAATCCTTCTGGCAGTTCTTCAGCACGTCATTCTCCTCTAGCAGGATCCTGTTTTCCTGCACATCTGTGTGCCCTCATCCCCCCTACCTTGATTGTGGGAACATCTGGCTTATAAAGAAAGGCGACCAGAGCATTTGTTGCTCAGAATCATTTCTGAACTACGAACAACCGACGAATACAGTAACCGGTAGAAACAGGCTCTGTAATTTGATCCCCGGCACAATTCCCTTTCCCCCCTTCCCCCTCCCGCCTCCCCGCTCCGTCCCCCCTCCCCTCCGCCCCTTCCCCACCCCCCACCCCCACCCTCCTGTTTCGGCAATCAGCCTAACTGAGCCACTGAGCATTACAGGTTGTGTCACAGTGGTGCTCTGCGGCAAGCCGAGGCGGGCGTCGTAGCGTTAAGCTCTCACTATTGCTATTGGTAGGGCTGCTATTGTTTATTCTGTTTCTTTACTATTGTTGTTATGAATAGTCTGTTGAGTTCGGTGACAGGGCAGAGCCAGGCTGCTCGTGCTGCTCGTGCGCCGACGCATGCCAACTCTATATTATAGACTCTAAAAGCTTGCTGCTGAGCAGATACACATACCTCATAGACAACACCGGGTAAAGCCCATGAATAGCACATCCAACCAAGTCCTGCCGAAGCTGCTCGAACTCCCAGCTCAGACGGTCGAGGTGGTGCTGAAAAGCATCCCTGGTCTGTGGATTGACATCGCTTGCTGCGGTACAAGTAGCTCCATAGCCGGCCTGGAGTTCGCAGCCGGTGCCATGTGGGGTGCCGGCCTGCCTTCACTCTACGGGCATTGGGCATTCAGCTGGTAAGTTGCAGCTTGAGCCAGAAGCAAGCTGTCGTGAAGTGGAGACCGGCAAGATGATCACTTTCAGGAGCAGTCGTCGGCGACGTGACTTTCGAGCGGCTCGCTGAGGTTGCGGCCACCAGCCCAATGGAAGATGCCATCAGTGTAGACGAAGTCACGGCATGTTCGTCTTGCCTTGGGAAGACCACTTGGCTCTTGGGGCCGGGGGATCTGAGTTTCTGGGCCTCGAGGTCCACAAGCTCGCGCACGGCGCCTGAGAGAGAGGGAAAGAGCACGTCGGAAATCCTCCGACCACTGGAGAAGCGCTTCCACTTCAGCGAGCCAAGGCGCGCCCACAAGCACGCAGCGTGTATCGCTGCTTGAGGTCCTCATCTGTGGCTCGGCTACCTATAAGCCTGCCTACATCAGAACCAGACTCTCCGTTTCGCCATCGCTGGCTCGCCTTTCCAGTCTTGTCTAACGGCGAATGTGTGTTCCATGCCAAGTTGCGAGCAATGGTTGCAGAGCCCGGAGCACCGCATCCGGTCGGCCAGCTGGAACCAGCATAGAGCTGCCTCGGACGACTGTGGAGGGGGCATGAAATGTCTTCTCTCCAACCTGCGGACAGCGGCAAGTACGAGGGCCTTGCCTGTCTCTGCATTGATTGTGGCAGCCTGTCCACACATATGTTGCAGCTGTGGGCCAATCTGGACAGAAGTGAGCCCTGACCAGTACGAGCTGTGGCCACCCTTCTTCTCATGCGATTTACTTCCGCACTCCCCGCCCCAATTGGCCTCATGGAGGAAGCAAAAATTCAGGCGAACTCTGCCCGACAGAAACAGCGCATGCAGTAACAGCCGACATGCATTGATGCGAGAAGGCAACGCTGCGTGCCTGAAGGATGGAGGCGGTAGAAAGTAGGACTGCGCTCGTCCTGCGTGCATGCAGCACCTTATAACTATGACGAGCTATCTCTCTTCTGTCGCGGAATGTCTCGACAAAATATGTGCCACATGAAGGAAGTACGGGTTAAGTCAGATGTCCTGGCAGTCCAGGAGGTATCTCTAATGCTGTCATAGAGAATTGCATGATGTCATGTGAAGCAGCTTGTAGTTTCCACGGCTCGGGCTCGCCAGGCTGCCTGACGATCTTGAGCCAAGGAGGCAAGGTTTTACGCTCTACCACGGCCCTCGCCAGGGCTTTCATTGAAACGGGGCAGCCGGAGAAAATCGTGTCGCCCAAGCCCAACTCGAAACAGCAACCCGTCCTCGGCCGCTTCGCCAGCGCCAAGTCTACTCCATCGTCCTGCACATCTTAGTAATAGCTGGATGAGAAAGGGATGATCGTCAGACTGATCGTCGCTACAGTGGGATACCTTTCCGCATGCTCTTCGCCGTATGCACGGAGTCAACACACGTGCGAGCACAGTGACTCATGTACAGTCCATGATCATCACCCTTCGCCAGTTGCAACTGTCCTGGCTGCCCCTGCTGCGCTTGCCCTGATGCGGCCCAGTGAAATCACGTTCTATCACATTGCACCACTCTCAAGCAGCAGAGGCAGCAGAACACTCAACGGAGCATGCTGTAGCATGCGACGCTAGATTAAAGTACAACACTGTATAACACTCACAAAGACTGCAACAAAAGAAAGTAGGTGGCATGCAACAACAGCACAGCCCGGGACAAGATGGTACAACTAGAACAAGTCATTTTGGGAAGAGCACGATCTCTTGAGGCTTGACGATGCCCTACTCAGACTCGACAGTCCAGTGGGGCCCAGAACAAGCTTTGGAATGTCCCGGTTCCTTTGCACACATGTAATCCGACATCGGGCCTGCGCAGACAGCGTGTCCATCAAAGGGACTACCTGGCCGCCCACTGGGCTGCGGAGGCGCTCCGACTGAATAAGTTTGTTGGTCCCAAGCATTTCTGCAAAGTGGGGGCGAAGAGTGAGAGAGGAGGCTTTGTTTTAGGATGCTGTAGCGGGCCGGGCGGCTGGGCCCGAGAAAGTCCCCCAAAACCCAGGAAGGCCTCGCCGCGGATCACCGCCCGCGCGGCCTTGAGGAGGTCAGGGCTTCCTGTCTTCAGCATGTGGACGGCCTGTGGAGTCGACGGCCCGGGCTTTGGAAACGGAGCAGGAGGGTTCAAGTTTTTGAGGCCTTGTTTCGGCTAGTGATGGCCATGCAGGTCTGGAGGGAAGCTTAGTGCAGTATGTGCTCCAGCCACTGCCACAGCCCGCGCACCCCTCTCCCAACCACACAAAAACAAGAATATCCTGCCGGTCGGCTCATTTGCCGTTGGGCCTGCTTGGTGTCCTCATGCGTGAGGCCCAAGACATCCCGAAGCTCGATCGCCAGTTCAGCTTGCAGGCCTCGGCCGCTGCTAGTATTTTGTGATCTGACGAGCGAAGGCCCATCGAACCCAGGGAGACGAAGAGGCGAGGAGAGTACCAGCTTTGGATCTGTCGCTGCAGCTGAGCTCCGGGGTTTTTGCGGCAGTGAAGTCTGTGGTCACACAAGGGCAACTTACTGACGGTCTGCAGAACTTCGCCCGGCTCGAGGACCTAATAATTACAAGGCTAGCCACGAGCCGTGAGTTTCGACAATTCTCCGTCAGCCCTCTCCAACCCAGAGGCCCTCAGAAACCTCAAGCCATATCGTGCAAGTGGCATGACCAAACAGCAAAGCACGCCTGCACACTCTGTAATTTTGCACTTCTAATTCCTGCGACCCGAGAGGCGCCAAAGCCGGCGTGCCTCGAAAGAGGAGGCCACCACCTAAGTCATGGTACATCTGCAACAAGCTCGAGTCTGTTGCGCCTTCAGATCTTTGTGTGGCCCTGTGCCAAGCTCGTCTGCCACAAGATGTGCTGGGTGGGCATGACTCCGAAAAACCTCATGCCCTCGTGCCGCACTACCCGGCTTCTGTCACCTGACGGGCTGCTTCATCAATCACAGGCACGAAGCCTATGCTTCGCATACTCAAGCAACCAAGCAGTCTACCCGAATCACAGGCTTCGCAATGCTGCCGTGTTTCTGGGTCGGTCGGCCGAGTTGTGCTGGATGAGGCGTTGTGCGAACTTGATGGACCTAGAGCCAGCAAAGGCGGAGCCACCTCTTGCTATTGCTACAGAGCAGAAGTCTCAGGCACAGACCACGCTCATGCTGGTGCCGCATGCTGAGCTCGCTGTGCCTTGCGCTGGTTTGCTGCAAGAAGGCAGGGGCCTCCCAAAAAATGGGTGAAGAAAACGGAAATAAGCTTCTGGAGTCCCTTCGAGGTGCACGGCATGGAGCAGTCGCCGCTCCAGAAGCTGCCTGTCGAACTTCTCCTTGCCATCATCTGAACCCATGGTTTACAAAGCATCTTCTTGCTCTTTGAATGCAGAAGCCTGATTCAGAGCCCGGTGACCCTGGGATGCATACTACAAGCATCCAAAAAAGCCTGCATTCCGCAAAGTCACCGCATGGACGGTCGCTAGAAAGCCAGAAGCGAAATCCGCGGCACTGACAAAGCAGGTCCTTGTTCACAGATCGAGTCGCGTTCTGGCAGGGTGAATGGGGCACAGAGTCTTGTCAAGGAGAAGGGCGTGTTCTGAGACCACCAGTAAATTTCTGGACAAGAGAGTCTGCCAAGCAAGAAGCTGCACCGTCGCACAATGTCACAGAGGAAAGAGCATGCGAATTACACTCTCGCCGGGGTGTCGAATTCACAGCAGGCTGTGTTCTAGATGTTAGGCGAGGGCTTGCTACTCCCACTGGCCTGCTTCAGCTTGTCGATCAACTCCTTTTTCTTCTTTTCGGCCACTTGTCCGTCCCGAACCCTTGGCTTTGGATGCGCTTGAGGGAACACCCAACGGGGCAAGAAACACCGAAGATGCTGCCCTTTGCTCAATGCCAAAGCCTCTGAGACTACTTAGGCCCTACTATATTATATTATATTATACTTTTGTTAGATTATACTATATTATATAATACTATATTATACTATATTATGCTATATTATACTATACTATACTATGTTTAATATTATATATAGGCCCTATGCAGCAGCGCCTGAGCTCAGTTTGAGAAAAGCGGCCGCTCCATGGTCGACCGGCCCTGAGCCTGTCAGAGGGCTCAGAGGGCTCGGACTTAGGGCCTGCTCTCCTCTGGAGGACTATAATATAGTATAATATAATATAGTATAATATAATATAATATAATATAATACAGTATAATATAATATAGTATAATATAATACAATATAATATAGTATAATATAATATGATATGATTCTACAATGATATAGTATAATCCAGGAAGGCGGAACGGAAGGGGGGGAAGGGTGGAGAGAAATCCTGGGTCCTAGGACCTCAACCTTCTGAGCTCTTTCCATCGGGGGCCTCGATGCGGCGTAGGGGTGAAACTGTGAAACTGGCAGAGCCAGGACACTGAGACGCTCCCGGCAGTCGAAAGTCTGCCTCTGAGACATACAGCGGCTTTGCCCCATGCTTTGCTGTGGCCAAAAGCCGCAATGGTGCTCTCCTCTTCGATCGGCCTCTCTGCTTTAGGCCGCATTCGTCAGCCAAGAGGTGCCAACCACACACACCAGGACTTGAAACAAAGCCCGGCGCTTAGACGAGAATCGGTGCAGTCGTCAACGGCCGTGGCCATTCCACAAGCCAGTCTCCATCGTATTTCCAGCCTGCGGTCGCAACATTTTATAACTCTGAAGCACTTCGATGGGAGTGTTCAAACCTCACACTGCACGGCAACCCAGCCTGGGCGGACTACTCGAAGTATCTGATCGACCTCGATGACGCCACTCCTCGGAAGTTGCATTTACCCAAGCTCCGAACGCACCCCACCCAAACCCCAACTCCCAGATCTGTAGCTGGAAAAGTGTTGGATCAGATGCCTCAATGACATGCAGTGGCCCACTTTTCTATGCGAAACGAACCATCTTCGGCACGCAGCGTCTGTAGAAATGCCCCCACCAGGACGAGCTGCGCATATTTTCATGCGTCTGAAAAAGATAACATCTGGCGACTTTGTGCAATCATCACTTAGACTGCATCTTATCATATTTCGCGGCCTTCTCAACCACATCTTTGGAACCCACATATGCTGTCACGGAAAGGATGACGACCATCACCGAGAGGAAGGTGGGAATCTCGAACTGGTCGTCAAACATTGGCAGTGCCACCTGGGCCGCATAGATAACCAAAACCGCGCATGCTTCACCGATGTTCTTGAGGACGGAGTCCAGGAGAGCCAGCAGGTAGAAAGTGCTCCAACCCTTGATGGTGAAGGAAGCAAGCACACCGCACACTGTAGGGTCCCAACCGCTGAAGAAACCATTCTGCCAAGTCTTGCCGTCCAGGAAAGAAATCACAAGGATGGTCGCAAACCAAGCGCACTTGAACTGCACCAACTGCATGTAGATAGGCTCGTTCTTGAAGTCCTTCATGTACTTGTCGGACAGCACGGCGCAAAGGCAAGAAACCGTCACCTTGAGAAGAACATTCAACACTCCCGCGATCGGGATGGCTCCACCGGAGCTGTCGCTCTTACCTCGGCAAGCGGAAGCTTCCACAGGAGCTTTTTTTCTTGAACGACAGTTGGAAGCAGGGCTTTTTGCCACAAGCTCGTGCCTCCAAGCATGTAGACGCACATCGAGAACATGACCAGGACGAGGATGTTCCACTGAAGCGCAGTCTGCTTGGTGCCCTGGTCGTCCCAGCTTTGAGCTAGGCTTCCGACTCTCACGGCTTGGCAAACGGCAAAAACAGGTTTCACGCTTGGGCTTCTGGTCCGGCCTTGATGCCCCAGATCATCAGGGCTGTGATAATGAGCTTGGACTGCAGCAGAATCTGATAGGCCGCGCCACCGAGGGATCCCATGCCTCTGTAGCGCATCGTCACGCATCGTCCCTTTAGCGAGGTAGCGCGTGAGCTTTTACACGATTGTCGGTGAGCGAGTGAGGGCGAGGGAGCGAGTCCTGTGTGTGGAAGTGCATCCCCCGAGGATACCTGTGTCAAACTGATCATAAGTGGAAATATGGGTGCAAGTACTTTATTGTCCCGACGTGAACACATGCATCCATCCATGCATTCATGCATCCAGACGGACGCACAGAGAGACAGCCAGCCAGCCAGCCAGACACGAATGCATGCATGCAAACATGAATACATGGCTACGTGCAAAGATGCATGCGTACCTGCATGCATGATCATGCATGCATACATGGCAAATACACACATACATATAAGCAAACGTGCAGGCATGAGCAAGTACGTACATTACATACATGGCCCAGATTACATACATTTACATACATATGTGTACATTTTAACGCTCGCGCTCGAGCTGTGTTTGTGTACATACATACATACGTACAGGCAGACAGACAGACAGACTTACATACGTGCTTACTTTCTTGCGTGAATACTTGGTTCCAGTTGCATACATACATCAATAGTTACATCCAGACATACATCCGTACCTACATCCATACATACACGGAGAGACACATACACGCACGTACATCCCGAGCTACTTTCCTTCATGCATACACACATCTCACGAGACGTACTTTATTGCTTAATTACGGACAAGCAGAGACTCGAGACAGGCAGGAAGGCAGTCTGGCAGATGGACAGAGACGTGCAAACACGTTACGTACGTGTGTGTGTGTGTACACAACTTGCGTTCATGTCGGTATTCATGTACGTCGCGCATGCCACATTCATCTATCTTTTCCTGTCATACTGTTCACTGAATGGCCGTGTGGTACTATCTTCGGCTATGCCACAAGATCATGCGGGCCAACGGCATTGAATGGTACTAGCTAAGAGCAGCCACCACGGGTGCAACAGACCACCAACTTAACTCAATCGCGCACCACCGGCACCGCCACCACCACCGCTGCCCTCTGTCGTCCTCGTCACCAACATTTTAGTACACGGGTTCACTATACCAATGCAGGAGCATCAGACCGAGTGATCATGCCACCATCTTCCGCGTCACCATAAGTCACCTAGATCTTCGCTGTGCGCTGTTTCTTGCGGATGACTGCGGGTGTGGATGTTCTCGTGTGTATGCGCATGTCTGAGTTTGTGTGTGGCTGCTGAGGTTAGTTTTGGGTGCGCGTGCAATAGCATCCAGGACACTTGCCATCTCGAGGTAGTCTCCCAAGGCATACATAAAGCCGATCAAGGAGAAGATCTTCATCGGCCGAGGGCTCCAGATCTGCCTTCAGGGATGGCATTGCAACCTTGTGTTTTCTCAGCAACTGTTTCCCGTCTCCGACCTCCACTCGTCCATGCCGCCAATGCCCACGCACATCAACTGGGCGATTATGAGTGTCACGACCGTCTCGCCGAGCACCACGGTCATGTTGCCATATGCGAAGAACTTCTTACCTGCCGCACATTGCTAGATAGTTTGCCGCCAAGCAGTGCGAGCACAAAGCTTGCGAAACAGCATGGAAAGCGTATAGCGCAAGATCACACAACTGTGAAACATAGAGCACGTCAGTTTCGAAGCGCCCTGGCACCCATCCCACCTGTCTCCGGATCCACGCTCTTTGAGGCGTCGATAATGGTCGGGTGCACTGCACGGGTCAAGACGAAGAAAGCCTGATTTGCGATTCCCAAAACGGATATTAGCATGGAGATACAGAAATGGGGAGCAGGACATGGGCAGATTTTCCCACCCGCTTCGCTGGCATGGGTTTGAGTATGAGGGTCTCCATGTATGACACTCGTGTTCAGGACCCTCAAGGGTTTTAGACATGTCTACAAGTCTTTACATAGTCGTCACAGACGTGGGTTTCAACGGCACTGTGCAGAAGAGGGTTTTTTGCCCATCCGGTTTACCACATCTCCCGACCAAAGCTTCAACCCGAATCGAACTGCGTCCTTCTGACTTGTCTAGTGTAGCATTTGGAACTCTTTCTCGATTGCTTATTATCGCAATATACTCTCAGCGACATGCTTCCATTCTAGAGGCATTGGGTCGGCATGATAGGTAAGTGGTCTGTAGAGGTGCCGACACACGTGCGTTGCAGCAATCACCTCGATCTTGGCCGCGCTACGGCTCGGATGCAAGCTGCATTCACACCATCTGCACTACACGGTTGCTGTTTTTGGGTCGAATTGAGTATTAAGCGTAGGATCAGCGGCAAAGCAATCTAACATTTGTGCCCGAGACAAGCAGCAAACAGCCCAAGCTTGGCCATGCCGGACACTTCCACAGGCTTCGATGCATCCTTGAACTCCTGTCAGTCATGTAGGCGTGTTCCAACATTGAATGCATGATTGGAGAGGCGCGTCTCTGCGAAACACCTCACAACAGCTTAAAGGCGGGTACAATTCCAGTTGGTTCATGGCATTTGCAGCCATGGCAAGAGTGCCAAGCCAGTTGAAACACTCATGCCAAACTCTGCGCCAGATGCTCCTGGCCCGTGTAGGGCACGGCCGCTGCTTTCGGCGCCATGGCGTTCAAACTACCAGGGAGTGTGCTGCTCCGATGTGGCTGCGCGCGGCTCTGTGGGCCAAGATCGCACAGGCCAGCTCCATGCACGGCATATTTTGTCGACCTTCAGGCTAGGGACATGGTGCCAACAGTGCCTGATTAGATAATTAGACTTCAAGCAGGACTAGATTCCGACACGACTGGAGGACGTCTCTTAGAACACGCGGATCGATACTCCCATTCCATATAGCCCGACCCGCATCTGCTTGCATCAGGAAGTCTGGTTCACGTCCATGTCACGGAACAGGGCAAGCGCCCGGCGTGCTGGTATCTGGAGGTGCAGCTCCTGAGGGAACCAAACAATATTAAGCACTAGTCTCGGCAGACTTCGCCGATGTGTCTAGAGACCACCCGGCTATCAGTTTGTTAAGGCCCCTGTGAGCATGCACAGAGTGTCCTGGATCATCCTCCCGAAGCCTTCCAGAGTGATCTGTCCGGAACCAGCAGAGTCGAAGTCTCGAATGATCTGTCGGCGAAAAAGCAGCAACTTATCTACCCAAGCATAGGGGGCTCTTGCTAAAACACTGCTCATGTAGGGCCAGTGTCGTACGAGATGTCGACCCTACCGCAGCTTCTATCCAGAACCCGGGCACAAGTGCTGACGCCTTCTCCAGATCTAGCTCTTGGAAGCCCCACTCGTACAGGTGCCTCCGAGTGCGCCACCTGCAAAAAGGTACGACGGGACTTCGTTGACGCGGAGTTGATTTAGGATGAGCCGATGGCCTGTTGGCTGAACGAAACTGCAGGCACGGACTGTGACCGGAACAAGACTGTCACCACCAGATCTTGGCAAGGCTATCCAGAAGCGCCTCAACACGAGGTAGTCGCGATCCTGCTGGGCAATGTCGTTTTCACTAGGCGGGACATTTGCAGCTTTTTGGATTGACATCGAATTCTTGTATTGACTAACCATGTGTGGCCAGCCCACAAGGAATGACCGGGCCCTGCTGTGCAAATTGCTGCCTAAGCTCTCAGCCCAAATTCAAACGAAAACGGAATTCCCACCGCTTGCGGCTCCCGGCGCTTCCGGCTCCTGCCATCGAAGTGCCAGGCGGTGGCCCACGAAGCCAACGGGGATGGCCATGTACAACACGCCTTATCCGGCTTCAAGCTTCAGGAGTGACCCAACCACAGATGCAAGCCCGCGGACCATGCAACTATCAAGCCGACCTTCGAAGAGATGTCGAAAGGCCCGGACACATGCCCTGACCCATCTCCAAAGCATTCCAAAGCTCAAAGACTCTTTGCCGACAAACCGGGAAGAAGCTTCAAGGATCTCCAAGGTGCTGCCAGCAGCCGCAAGTGTGCTGGCGATGGTCGCCACTGTAGAGCCGGAGGTGGATGTCGACGACCTCTGCAAAGTCCACGACTAGCCACACACGAAGCAGCTAAGCTTTGCTTTTCGGCGGCGAAGCTAAGAAGCTAAGGCTACCGGACAGGCTTCCAGGCCCTGAAGTAACTATTTAGCCAATTTAGTCCTTCGTTTGGACCAGACTTTCGTGTCCTCATCATTTGCAGCAGCAAACCCGCAAGGTCTTGGTGCTGAGCGTCCGACCCGACCTGAGATGCACGAAGACGAATACTTTTTAGCAGCTGGTTAACCGGGTTTGTGAATTAGCCCTGCTTGCGGCATGGGCGCAGCAGAAATTGTCAGATACATCATGTTCAAGGCCTGCCTCAGCGTGTCGGGCACCCATGCAGTGGGGCACGGAAGGCACTCCGAGCAAATCACCAACATTCACCAAATACCAGCAACCATCACCCCAGCCAGAACTGGGCCTGCGAGCGAGCCGCGGAAGGGTCTCCACGACCGCAGGCTCAGCCAGGTATGTGGCAACAGCCAGGGACAATATTCCGATAGCAGCAATCCTGGGTCCGATGCCCACGCAAGGCCACTTCCCTAGATCTGAAACTGAAGCCCGGTTGTCTTGTTCAGAATTGAGCTCGCAAGGGCCCTGCACTCACCTGTGGTCCAAGGCGAGCCGAGCGTCACAAACCAAGCGTAAAGCACTTCTCGGATCTCCTGGGCTCTCACGTCATGCCTCCAGCCGCAAAACGGCCTCATCACGGCTCAGCCTTTAGCCTACTGCGGCCAAAACTCCGAAACTGCCAGGATCACCAGGCGCAGCCTCGAGCTTCACGCCAGCAGGACACGCAGACCGAAGCGAGGCATCCAGCCGACAAGGAGTGAGAGAGCAGCGAGCATTCCAGTTGCATGCAAAGCAGCTGGTCGCAGCGACGGAACCTGATCGAGCCACATGTACATCAATTGCTTGCAATTGCGGGCGAAGCCGGTCTTAGTAGTGGTTTCAATTTGCTTACTACTTATAACCGCGCGTACTTCAGATTCTTTAGATGGTGCTGCAACGCAAACCGATAACGACACAGCGCTCTGTCGGCGCGATCCTCTTGTTGCGAGGTCCGGCGTACGCGCGCGCCACAAGCACGCCTCAGCATTTGCTGCGGCCAAGGTGCAGCCTCATCAACTTGATGAGTGGCAGAATACAAAGCTTCACCAGCAGGACTCCCTCACTGGCCTGTATGTCAGTGGGGTACAGGCAGAGGCTGCGGCAAGAGCAACAAAAGCCTCGCTGGACAGAACCAGGATGTTGAACCTCAGAGCTAGCACAAGAGAGGTGAGCAATCCCTGAAGCAGCGAGAGAGCAACTGCTGAGTGCTTCGAAGGGGCACAAGGGAAGTCAAAGACACGACGTCAATGACGTTGTACTGATTGCCTCGTGCGATGCAACGGGGGCGCATGCATCCTACAATAAGAATAGGCAATGCCATCAGCATTATGCATTCTTGGCACCATGCATTCTTGGCCGTCTTTTCTCTCGCAAACTTAAGATTGCATGTTGCGAGGGCGCCAAGTACGCGCCAGCATCGTTCCTCACTTAGGAGCTTGGGAACAGCTGGGCTTTTTAGCTCGCAGCATGTGTTTCGAAGGTTCGAACACCTGTACAAGCCGGCCAAACCCGGCTTCGCGTACGATTCGTGAACGCGAGATGACACAAGCTGTTGTGGGACAGGCACCCTATATCGAGCTTGGAGCCTGCGAAAGTCAAATTCGAAAATCTTGCAAGACGCCGGATTTTATCTACCTGAGCGTGGACCTCGAACCCGTCCGGAAAGCTTTCTTCGAGCATCATCCGCACTTGTGTGTCGCTTGCGCTGCGAGTGCCCCTTGCCGTCCAAGTGGCTGGCGGGGTGGCGACTGCGCGGGGGCCTCGAAGACTTCGACGGCTCTGGGAAGGCGACCCGAACTCCGTTCTGAAGAACGATTGGTCTGTACTCATCCGGCACGCTCTCGTGCATGATGGGGCTGTTGCGGTAACGCTCCACATGCGACTCAAGCCCTTGGTGTGGTTCACTCCAGCTCACTCCGCAAAGCTTTTTGCTCCGTACCACCCAGTTGGAATAGCCACTGAATTTGGCCCAGAAGTCCGGGACATGCACAGGATCCACCAAGTTCACGAAGGCATAGCCCATGCAAGCCCGCGTCCGAAAGTCGATCGGCAAGTACAGGAAGTTGTACTTGCCCTCAAAGCCTTCCTTGTCGAGCAGCGCAAGAATCATGGCGCGATCGTAATTATTGGGCAGATTACGAAGCATTACTGTTGTCCACTCCTCCATGGGTTTGTCACACTCGGTGTTGCTTGCCTGAGTGGCATTGCTTTGGCTGCCTCTTGGGAGGCTGAGCTCTGCATCTGAAGCTGCGTTGCCCTTCCGGCTGCGAAAGCGTCGTCGCCGGGGCATCGTGCTGGCAACCGTCAGCTCCGAGTGTGGCCCATGAGAGCTTGTGAAGGTCTCAGCCGAGAAAGGCATCTGTGAACTGCTACTCGACCCAGGGACCAAGCCGGCAGGCACCAAAACTGCGGTCCACCCCGTGCCACTGGCTTGCTCGGAGGGATTCACAACTTGAGCATTGTTTCGGCTTGCAGGTTCTTCTGGCTCTTGCGCCAGTCGGCGAAGAAGTTCATTCTCCTGCTCCAACTGCGCTACCTCCGCCAGCAGGCTCTGCAGCGCATGTCTCGAGACATCCCTTCTGCCTGCATGGGCTTTTGGCACGTGGCCCCGAGTAGGAGGGACAAGGTCCGGCATCGGATCGGACCGAATCTCCTCCGTCGGCAAACCGGTGTCGCCGAAGCTGCTGGCGGGCCAGTCCATGCGTCTTGGACTTGGCGTCTGCACGACATACTGCCCCGCAGCACGAGGGGTGCTCCGCCCGCTGTGAGAATCCGCGATGTGATGATAGCAGGGCAGTGGAAGAGACTTTTCGCCTTCCATGGTGTCCGGGGTCGTTTCGGCATCACTCCAACTGTCAAGTTCGGATTCCATGGACTCCTCGGAAGACTTCGGAGACGCTCCCGATGTCTTCCCACTCTTGGTCTCATGCTCCGACTGCTCAGCTGCATGGCGCCTAGAGTAGCCCTCGTAAAGGACAGAGTCTGAATTCGCACGCATCAGCAAGCTTGAAAATCCGTCTGAATCCGACACGTCATCAACGATCTCGATGAATGTGTTACGCAGCATCCATCGTGGACTGGACTGCTGCTGGACGGACTCCATCGCGCGAGGCACGATGTAAAAGGCAACCAGTTGGCAACTCAGACAGCTAGCCTATGAGCCACAAACAAACAACAAACTTGTCCAAACATGTCCAAACATCCGGAATCTTGATCCAAGCCAAGTGGCGCAGGAAGCGCCATGTGCTCCAGCTCATCTTGTATCTGAGCATGAGGTCCAGGAGAAAGATGACGTCGAGCACGAGCTGAACCACAACCACCTGCCTTGCACTTCAAGAACTTAGGTCCTACTGCACCACTGAATAAATGTGTTGGTCTGAGAGGCGGCATGAAAGCCGGTGCTTTGTAGGATGACTCCATGAGATTGCAAGTCACTGATGTCCTTAGATGAAGGCCGACTCTCACTTTAATATAACGTCAAGGTCCCATGCCACTTTCAGCAATCGGAGACGAGGCTCAGGACGAAGGGCGCATAAAGTCGCCCATACCAGCGCGCGGCCTGCGGGTCTGAGGGCACCCAGGGTGCTCATGACTTTTGTCACCACTGCGAGAACAACCAGCACTGCAATGATTGGCACCATGTAGATACTTCATGCTGCTTCTTAACTCACAAGTGTGCTCCGAACCTGGCTGCTCATAGGGTCTTCAAAGAAATTCCAGAGTGCCTGGCTCAAGGGTGACGTGGTCGACTGCATGAAGCCCTGCTGCTGCAGCTGAGGATGCTGCTACTGCCACCACCACAACTGCTACTGCTGCTGCTGCTGCTACTGCTGCTCCTGCTACTACTATCTACTACTACGACGACGACGATGACTACTACGACGACGACTGCTACGACTATGACTACTGCTACGACCACGATGACGACTGCTACGACTACTACTTCTACTACTTCTACTGCTACTTCGACTTCTACTTCTACTGCTACTGCAAAGGCTACTGCTACAGCTTGTGCTACTAGTGCTACTAGTCCTGCTCCTCCTCCTCCTCTCCTCCTGCTGCTCTTGCTGCTCTTGCTGCTGCTCCCGCAACAGGACTGCTGCTCGGGTGCTTCTGCAGCTGCTGCATACTGCTGCTATTTCATGCTTATTCCTCATCATTCTCATACTCCTTGAATCCAGAACCTGAGCCGTGACAGCAAGAAACGCTCCATCTCGCCTCCTGGACCGGCTGGTTGACGCGCCTGTTCCACTTCAGACATGAGTGTTGGATTCTGCTGGTAGGTGAGCTTGGGATCGGCCAAGAGCCCGCGAACAAATTACGATATCCGAGTCTTCTTCTCGCTCCAGCTTCTGCCTGTCTGAAAGCACCTCACCCTCTGCCTCACTGCGACAGCGCCGAATCGGGGTGGTGGTCGTACAACCCCTTTGCCGGCGAGGTCTTGAAGGATCTCGGTGGAGTCCTGAGCGCTTGGATTCCATGTCACTCTGCCCAATGCAACAGATTTGTAGCAACTGCTCGGCTCAGCCCTTGCGAGCCTGGAAAGGGGATGCCCAGGATTTCGGCGACATGTTGCGGCCACCGTGCCTAGTTGCTCAGAAATGGGCAGCCAAACCGAAGTTCTACTTGTAAAGCAGAGACTCTTCTTGACGTGTGACTAGGCCCAGGCGGCTTTCCATTTATTCCGGACACGCGCCTCCCACTTCTAGGGACAACGTTTTGTCACCACCTAGTTGAGACTAACTCCGTTCTCGGATTGAACTGCGTGACTCTGTCCGGGACTGTTTGCAGAGCAGGGCACGTCAACAACAAGTTCCAGCTGCAGTAAAGACCCATCTAGAGGATGTGAGACGAACAAGACAGCAACATCTCGGAAGGACGAGGGTCGTGTTTGCTTCCATCCACCACCGCGCCTTTTACCTTGCATGTCCCAAGTCTGCTGATCCTGTAAGTTCCAGGTACTTGGTTTGAACCGCCGCCGTCGAGACCTTCGCCGGGACGATGCCTCGAGGATTGCAATGACTAGGCGAGATCTCAGGCAACACGGGCGAACGGTAGGAACACAGATGACAGAAAGCCTGGGCCTGGCTGGCCATGTCCTGGCTCCAAGCGCACGGACGGGCCGGGAGCTCCGGGAGGGCCGGAAGGGCCGTGCGGGCAGCTCTCCACTCGCCGGACCGCAGCATGGACGTCCTGCAACTTGGCGTCCTCAGCTTCGCTCACAGAGCTGGCGGAGCTTCTCCACGCAACATCTCCCCACACAAAAGCATGCTGCAAGAGTCAATCTCTGCAAGCCGTCTGCGCAGGTCCCGTTCGATCTTGCTTATGCCGTGGAGAACCTGCGTATACAAGGCTTTGCAGAGGTGAAGCGATGCAGATCTCCGGGCATGTCTTCATGTCAGCTTACCACCAAAGCAACAGAAACAGACTCTCGTCGCGAACACTGCCAACTCAAATGACTAGATAAGTCGTAAGAGCGGTCTCGTGCGACTTACTGAGCGACGTCTGCTTGACTGCAGGCATCCCCTTCCCGGCAGATAAGCCACGGTGGACCACTGCATGAGTACATGTCAGGCTTAAGAACTGGGCAAAGGGAAGTCGCTGACAAGGCGGAGCCTGCGACTGGAAAGCGACCTCAGAACACACGAGCGACAGGCTCGAAATGGTTTGTGTGTCCGAGGCTTCCCGAAAGCCCGCCACCATGCTTTCATGGCAGGCAATTACGTAATGACGTATTGGCTGACAGGTCCGGGCCACAGAGACGACCGTCTCCTGCATCGCGTCCGAGGCATCTGCATCCCAGAGCCTGGGCTGCAAGCCGCAGACAGGTCGGGCACCACAGGGGCCCAGTTCAAGCAGAAGGCTCGTGTTCCCACACCTCGTCACCACCCGTGTCATCGAAGCAGACGCGCTGCTGCATGGCGTCGCCGGGCCCGGCTTTGGAGGGAAGTCTTGCCGATGAACCGAGCGATTTGCTTGCCGGGCTGCGATGCAGGCATTCACCGGACTGGCTATGTCATTGGGCTTTGTGGTTGTCTCAATAACCGAATAGCTCTTGACTCATGTAACGTGTAAGCCCCTTTAGGAAACATTACACGAACCTATGAGTTATGAGCCCTTGCAAAGTGTAGGGCTCCAGGCCCTTGAGCCCGGCGTGGCAGAGGAGACGTGCCATCATCTCGGCCCTCTCCAAAGAGGTTACCCTCGCATCGGGTGCCTGGAGCTTCTGCGCAAGGTGAATGTCGGTGGTGCATGGCAACACCTGAGCAGCTCCACGGCCTCAACATGCCCTGTCCTTCGGCTACAACACAGGACTTCGGCAGAGGAACGATCCGTGTCCGTCCACAAGTTAAGATGCAGCTGAAGGAGAGCCGCACAGTTGGGCTAGCCTGGGCGGCGCTGCATGAACGGCCCCCTTTCCCAACTCCCAGCAGGCAGCCTGGTAAGCCAGTGCGACCTCCTCTTCAGTCAGGGGTGGGACCTTCACGAGATCCATGCAGTCCTCCTCCTTGGAAACCCGCTAGTACTTGCAACTGCCCTGAGATGTGGGGCAGAAAGGCTCCCAGACTGGTGCTGTTGCATCACAGTTTCGGATTGTCGCATTCGCGCTTGGGACGTTGCCTGCCGCCAGATTGTACAGCAAGTTCCGTCTTGATTGCTGCCCCCCCCACCCACCCTTTAGCCCACATCTGCCACATCCAGACTGAACCCATTCTCCGAATACACTCTAGTGGCTAAGCAGATTATTTCGCACATGATCACCTTATCACGAAGTGCCCACATTCACGTCAAGCCTTCAGCTGCGTCAACGTGATGTGCCAATCCACTGCTTCTGTCAAAGAGTTCGTCTTTTGGGTTCCTCAGCAGCAGATCAAATTCCATGGTCCAACCTTGACAACTCTAGGCTAGGGGCGGCAGCTGGGGGTCAAGGGCGTGGAATGCAGGCGGGCGTCGGCACTTGACGGTGGACCAGTGCATGTAGACATAGTAGCCGTTTCCTGTCAAAGGTTTTTCGCACAAACCGCTTCTGTTATGTGTAGGCTCAGGACGTCGTGTATCTGTGAACTGAAAATCAACTCGGAAAGCGACTTGCTTGAAGAGACTCTCTTCAAGCAAGTAACGGAAGTTGAGGGACCCTTGTCCCGCAACATGCACAACATGTTCCCCCAGCCTCCTGTCTTTTCTCTGTAGATTCCAGCCAGCTTCGGCCTCTGCAACAGCGGCCATGCAACTGCAAATCCGCCAAGTGTGGATCTTTACAGTAGTCGTACTAGTCGCAGTAGCCGTCCTGGTGGTAGTGGTAGTAGTGGCAGTAGTGGCAGTTTATCAGTGGACTTCATTATTAGCCTTTTGGCATCATGTTGTCATCTTTTTTTTGGTTTGGTTTGCTCATCGCTTGGGTTTCGGAACGCTACCACAGAGAGTCCAAGATATGGCGAGAGCAGGAGCCGTAGCTCCGCTCCCAAATTCGGAAGCAAGAAGGCCCTGCTTTTATCGTGCCCAAGCGCACTGCAGCGGTAGACCGGTAGACTCACATGCAAGACAGCATGACATGGAAATGTGTACATCAGTCGCTGACAGAAACCTTCACTCCCCCAGTACGTAAGGTCCTGGACCTTGACATTTGCAACATCTTCGTCCAATTGACCTGTTTGCTGCACCTAGAACAGTCTGTTTCAGCTGGCAGGCTCCAGAAAGTGATTCTTGGAGACGTCGCCATCCTTGCCGCCGTCACTCTCGAAAGTGTTGGAACTCCGCGAGCAAGAGCAGAGAAGCCTCGAGTGTGCTCTGTCCGTCTGCTTGCTGAGTCGATTTTCTAGCCCAGAAACGTCAAATTGCAGGAAGTCGTAGGAACCAAACTACCCCAGCTACCCACTTACATGCACGGTCAAAACGCGACCAGGCCAAATCTTGCTTTCTCCACCTCTATCTCTATCTGGCCGGGGCACCATTGCACCATAGCCCGCAGTACATCGGAACTCTGCTTTTTCAACTGCTCGTTGACGTTCTGGCCAGAAGCGGGCGGGGAAAGGCTGGGCAGGATGTGTGGCTTTGGCAAACATGGAACGGCAAGCACGAAGGTCTAAATCGATGTAAACTTTG